CGGCGTGCGGCGTGGACGTGCGCGTGCGGCGGCGCGGGCGCGAGCACGCGGGGCACGTGGGCGGCGGCCGGCGCGAGCACCTGCGGCGCGGCGGGCGGCGCGGCGGGGCCGCCGACGCCCGCGCCGAGCACGGGGCCCTGCCCGACCTGCGGTGGGAGGGGAGGTGGGTCGGACGAGCACGCGGGCTAGGCGCGCGGCTTGTGTCGTGCGTGCGCGCGTGCGCGCGAGGAGAGGAAGGGGGCGGTGCGGCGGGGAGGGGGATACCTGGGGCGGCGGGGCAAAGGGCGCGGGCGCGCCGCCGAGCACGCCGGCAACGCCCGCCGGCTGCGGCACCTGCCGGACAGTAGGGGGGGGGAGCGTGGCGTGGGGCAGAGGGGAGCGAGGAGGGGCGAGGCGACACAGGACGAGCGCGCGCGTGCGCGCACGTGGGCGGGCGGCGGGCGGCGGGCACGCACCTGGAAGGGCACGAGAGGCACGAGAGGCCCCAGAGTCGAGTGCTGCACCGAGTTGACGTTGGCGCCGTGCTCGAGCAGGAGAGCCGCCGGCGGCGCGAAGTGCAGTCGGTCAGCCGGCGCCGGTCCATCGCATGCCGCTGGCGCCGGGCCGTGCGATCAGTCGAGTGAAGGGTTGGCTAGCCTTGCCGTTCAAGATGAAGCCCGCCATGTCGGCATCGGCTGCTGCACGTTGAAGGAACTGGGCGGCCGAGCCGACGACGGGCACGATCCGCTTGCTCTCCTTGTGCTGCAGCCACGGTAGCTCGCGCAGCATCCGCCAGCCGTCCTTGCAAAGGTAGCCAACGACGCCTCGCGAACCCTCGCCGACCAGCTCGAGCATGTTGTTGTAGGTCGGTTTGGTGTTCTTGCCGAACATCTGCGACAGCGCGGACCTGCCCGCGACCACGTGGACGACGCCCGCCGAGTCCACGAGCGTCCATGATGGCTCCAGCGCCATGATCGACGCGGATCTTCGAGGTGTTCAAGCGGGCGCGGGGTAGATCTTCGAGGTGTTCACGCGGATCTTCGAGGTGTTCAAGCGGCGGTGGAAATGACTTTCCTCATCAGCGAACCTCCGCCCAGCAAAAACTCAGGACCCGCTGACGGTGACAATCGTTGCATCCCTCCCTTGGCTTGTCTGTTTTCTTTCTCTTCTTTTCTTTTTCTGTCCCTTCCGTTGTCTGTTGACCCCTGCCGCTGTTTGGTTTTCTGTGTGTTCTCGACGTTCGTGGTCGCGTGGGCGTGATGGAGTGGGGCAGCCTGATGGCCCTGCTGAACAAGCATCAAGCTCCTCTTGTAGCTCGATCGGTCACACCGCCATCGCCGCCGACGTTCTCCCAGCGAGACTATGGAGAGGGGGGACGACACTGCTTCGGCAGCGTGCACCTCGATCCTGTACCGTGTTTGTTATGACCCCCCCCGATGAACACACCAGTGAGGGAGGGCGAGACGATCGAGGGGTCCCGTACCACGCGGAATCGACCCTATCCAGTGCTCAAGTGCTCAATCAAGGCAGCCTGTGTGTGTGATTGATCTCTGTCTTTTGTGTGTGTGTGTGTGAGTGAGCACCACAGTCACAGCCACAGCCACAGCCACAGCCACCACAGCCGCAACAACAACAACAACTAAAAACTCTCTCTTCTCCACTGAAGCCAAAACAAGAAACAAATTTGCGCACGTGGCAGGAGAATTCCCGCCGCCCGAAGAAGGCACATTCCGAGTTCGCTATTTGCCGCACCCGGGACACACATGCTGCGCGCCCCCGTGCTCCAGCTGCTCATCGGGAGCGCCGCTGCCCAGGGACGCACGCGCATTTCATTGGCCAGTGTGGGAAATCTCCCCATTCCCGACCCTAACGATGCCAACTCGCACCAGCTCTGCGCTGACTGGTTCAACGACTGCTCTGTCAACCCCGACTGCGTGGGCTCTGCAACAGACAACAGGGGCTGTCCGGAGGACCTGATGCGCAAAGCCCCGCAGGATTTGCTGATGCGCTGCTACCCTGGCGTGTCGGGCTACTGCACGCATGAGTACTGCTGCAAAAACGGGGCATTCCAAGACCCGCACCTCGCCTTTGCAAACGGCGGGCGCGCCGACTTCCGTGGCCGGAACGGCATGTTCTACAACTTCTTGTCGGCGCCCGACCTCGCCGTCAACGTCAAGATTGAGGATGCAAAGTTCCTGCTGGGCAACACTATGAGCGCGGAGAAGAAGGTGACGGTCGACGGGAGCTTCATCACCGAGGTGCATATCGTGGCGCGCGTTGGCGGCGCCAAGCGCAAGTTTGCCAACATCTCGTTCTGGGCCTCAGAGCTGAACGACCAGAACTGGGGTTGGAAGACGGTCAACGGCACGTGCGGCGGCAACTTCTTCCGGATCGGCAAGAAGGCCTCCAAGCAGTGCGAGGAGCTGACGTTCGCCATGAAGTCATCCAGCGGCAACGCCACGGTTGGTGACTGGGTCGTTTGGATCAAGGGCAGCCCCGTGTACGATCGGATCTCGGGTCCTCACCATCGCCTCGATCTTGGTTTCCACTCGATCGGCGACGTGGCCGCGCGGTCCCGCCCGCACGGCCTCATCGGCCAGTCGTACTCGTCGCCGCTTCCACGCAACGGCAAAACCGACAACTACCCGGCCGAGGGCTACTTCAAGACGTCAGCCATGGCGGAGGGTGCCATTGATGGACAAGCGGAGAATTACGAGGTGACATCTGCGTATGCCACGCAGTTCACATTCTCCCGCTTTGACGAGCCGATTGAAAAGGTGCCAGTCAAGTCGCTCGCGCTGGGAGGCGACGCAGCGTCTGTGGAGCGTGTGTAGGGTTTTCAGTGGATCGTCTTCTCGCCGTTGAAGAGGTGGCGATGCGACCCCTCGCTGCGAGCCTCTTTTCGTGTCGGCTCGCTGAACTTGAAGCGCGATCCCGTCGCACCAGGCAGCTCTCTCCCCGGCTCCCGGGTGAGTCGCGTCTCTCGTCTCTCTGCGGGCGACGGTCGGGGTCAGTCTGCACTCTGGCCGTGTCTGCTGTGTCTCAAACGTCGCAGTAAGCATGTGTGCGAGTGCGCCAACACCACCCCAATGTGTTGAATAGGCGTGTGTTGAGGTACATTTGGGTAAAAATGCAGCGCTCTCCGGCGTACCTATACACGGCTCGCGAGGGACGTCTCTCGCTCATACAAACCATCGATGCGACCCGGAGGTGCGTGCTCTTTTGTCTTTTCAGGCGCATGCGCTCGCTCGCGGCTCGCAGCTCGGCCTCGCGGCCCATAACGCTGCCTCCTGCCGACCATTGTGCGCCTTGGGCACGTGTAAATAGCGCTGTGGGCCCGAGCCTCGGCCCTCACTCGCCCTGGTACTTGTTGTCGGAGCCGCGCGCCTTGGCTCCGACCTGCTTCGCCCCCTTCTCGTACGTGCGCTTCTCCTTCTTCTTCTTGCCGGCGTCGCGCGCCTTCAGCTCGGCCGCGGCGATGGCTGCTGCGCCGCCCGCGGCGCCCGCCTTCTTCTTCTTCCCGGCGGCGGCGGCGGCGCGTGCCTTGCGGCGAGGGAGCGACGAGGGAGGCAGCGAGGTGGGCGGGGAGGGACAGGGCGGGCAAAAGCTGCCGACGAGAAGGGGCGAGCTGCGGGGAGTGGGGTGCAAAAAGCGCGAAGGCGCGGAGGAGGCGGCGCGGAGGCGTGGGGGCGGCGCGGAGCTCACCTTGAGCACCGCCGCCACGTCGACGCCCTTGGCCTCGCCGCCCGCGCCCTCCTCCTCCGCAGCCGGCGCCGCCTCTGCCTCGCCGGTGGCGGCGCCTGCTCCGCCGTTGGCCGCCGCCGCCGCCGCCTACGGGACACGTCGCGCGGCTCGTCACGGACCGCCGAGATCGCCTGCACGAGGCAGGGACGGGGCGGCACATCGCGCCTTCTTGGCCGCGCGCTTGGCGGCCGCCTTGGACTGGCCCGCCGCCGCCGGCTCCGCCGCAGACTGCTCCGGCGCCGCCTCGAGCTCGAGCAGCAGCGCCTGCTCAGAGCTCGGGCGGTCAAGGGACGCGCACGCCCGCCGGCTCCACCTCGCGCGGCCGCAGCGCCTCGACAGACTCCTCCTCCGCCGTCTTCTTCTTCTTGGGCCGCTCCTTGGCCGCAGCCGCAGCCGCCGCCTCCGCCTCCCTCGCCGCCGCGGCCGCCGCGGCCGCCACGGCATCCTCGGACTCGCTCTCCTCCGACTCGCTCTCCGCCTCCGACTCGCTCGCGTCCGAGTCGGTGAGCGATGGCGCGGGCGGCGCCTCCTCCTCGTCAGACTCGTCGTCGGCCCAGTTGCGCTGCCCCACGCCCGCCTTGACCGCCTCGAACGCGGCGCGAGACTCCTCGGCCGCCTTGGCCGCCGCGGCGCGCTTCTTCTCCGCCCTCTCCTCCTTGCGCCGATTCTTCTCCCGCAGGATCTCAGCGCTGTCTTCGCCCGCGAGGCCCATCAGCGCCGCGAAGCCGTCCGCCGCCTTCTTGGCCGCCGGCTTCTCCTCTGGCTTGGGCGGTGGCGCAGAGCGCGGAGGCGGAGGCGCCGCGCCGTCGGGACGCCTCCAGCGGCCCTCTCCGTTGGTCTCGCGGTTCCCGAGCTTCGGCTTGTACACGCCCGACTTGTCGCCGCGCACGGCCGGGCGCGTCACGTCCATCGACCCGGCCGGCGCGACGTAGACGGCGGGCGGGATGCCCCACTCGTTGGACTTTGGCACGCCGAGCAGCCCCATCCCGTCCGCCTTGAACTTGAGCGGGTGCGCCACGCCGCACTCGGTGCGGAGAGTGCCGAGGACTGAGGCGGGCAGTCGCGCGGGGGCTGAGCGGCGCGGGCCAGGCAGCAGGGCAGGGCGGCGCGGGCAGGGCGACGCGCAGGGGCGCTTGGCGCGGCGGGCGGGCGGCGGCGGCGGCCGGGCCGACGCGCGCCTCGCTCCACCTCTGACGTGTCCCAGAAGGGGCTGACGTAGACGCAGATGATGTGGCCGCCGTGCGCCATCTGCATGCCTGCGCCGCTCACCTTGGCGGAGGAGCCAAGCTTGCCCTCCCAGAGGGCGGCGACGATCTTGCGCCACATCTCGTCCACCTCCTCCGCCTCGGCCTGGATCAGCCACTTGCCCCGCCCAAAGTTGTGCGCCTTGAGCGTCGCAGTGAGCGTGGAGAGCGACTTGCTGCCCACCGCCTGCCAAGCCTTTTTCGCCTCGGCCTCGGCCTTGCTGCCGCCCTTCTCCTCCTCGGCCTCCGCACGATTGCCGCCGCCCTTCTCCTCCGCCTCGTCCTCAGCGCTGCCGCCGCCGGCCAGCGCAGACCGGCCGTCGTGGCGCGCGGCGATCCACTCCTTTCCACACGACCGCGGCGGGAAGGCGCCGGTGAATGAGTCGACGCTCTCGTTGGCCTCCGCGAAGACCCAAGTGTCGCCGTTGTCCTCGCGCGCGCCGCAGTCGACCGTGTGCCGGCCGAGCTCGCTCTCCGTGGTCATTTTTGACTTCGAAGCGAGGCAGGGCTGATGAGATTGTGGCCGTTTGGTTACGCTGCGAGCTCGCGCCACTCTGCTTCGCGGGAAGAATTTTTGCACTCGTGTGCCGTCCTCCAATCCCTCCCTTGGGTTGTCTGTTTTCTTTCTTTTTCTGCTAGTTCTTTTGAGTTTGTCTGTTTTCTTCTTTCTTTCTGGTACGGGACTCCATGAACACCCCAGTGACTAGTTGCACCGGCCCTTCTCACCTTCTCAGGTTCTCTCGGTTAAGTCGAGCGATGCCGCCCGCCTCTTTTCATTGTTACGACCTTCGAAGTGCGAATCTATGCGCGTTAGCGGCGGGCACTAACAATGAAAAGAGGCGCGCTGCCTCTCTCCGTCGGGCTCCTGCACGGATCGTAGGCGCCGCGCATAACTGACTCCTCATCACCTCCCTGCTAACATACACAGGTAGTAAGGTGAAGAACAGCCAGGCTCGGACTGGACACCAACGCGGTATGTTGGACGCTGGACAGATGATGACGGATCACAAGAGAGAAAGCTCTCTCGGACCACGCCTGGTGGGTAGCTGGGTATCTATGTATCTGACACATTTTGTTTGCAGGAAACAAACAAAAAATAATTTCGTTTGTGTCCCTTCCTTCGGAATCGCTCTCGTTGCAAATCCCTGTTCACGATCGCTCTCGTTGCAAATCCCTCAGAAGTTCACGAAAAAAGAAAGCGCCAGCAACGCCGTCGGCCGAAACAAGGTAGGGTCCGGGGCGAAACCGCTCCGCCGAGCCACTCAGATCGTGACCGCGATGCCCGCCGCCAACATCGCCCCGATGGACTCGCAAGCCAAGCCGCACGCCTCCTCCGAGCCTCTCACTTACTGGGGCCGCGTCCGCGACGTGGCGGCGGCATTCTTCCCGATGGGGTTTATCGCCTTCGGCGGTCCCGCGGCGCACATCGGCCTCTTTCTCAAGACGTTCGTGGAGGGGGAGCGGCCTTGGCTGGACGAGCAGCGCTTCATGGAGCTCATGTCGCTCGGGCAGGCGATGCCCGGCCCCACCTCGACGCAGATGGCCACGGCGATGGGCATCACGCGTGCGGGCGCGCTCGGTGGGCTGGTGAGCTTCTGGCTCTTTGACTGGGTCGGCTTCGCGGTGCAGCTGAGCACGGGCGCGGCGGTGTACTACCTCGACCTCGGCGCGCTCGACACCTACAAGATGGTCGTGCTCGGCGCGGGGCCGGCCGCGATCAGCCTCGTCTTTCTCGCCGCGCGCATGCTCGGCAACAAGGCCTGCGGCGACGACCCGCTCCGCATCTCGCTCGCGCTCTTCACGTGCTTCGTGGCGCTGCTGCTGCCGCGGGAGCACATGCGCTGGGCCGCCTTCGCCTTCCCCGGCGCACAGCCGAGCCCCGCCCGGACCACCACCACCACGGACCGCCACCCGCGACACGGCGCCCCCCTCGGTAGGCCTCATCCTGTTTGGAGGCCTCGTCACCGCGCTCGACGCACGGCGACCGTCGCGGCGGGCCGCGTACGAAAAGGTGCCCGCCACCTCCTCCTCGCCCTTTGACTTCTCGAGCCTCGACTCCCCCACCCGCTCCGCGCCGCAGGCGCTCTCCCCACCAACCGGCAAGGGGCTGCTCAAGCAGATCGGCATCCCGCGCCCGGCCGGCCTCCTCCTCGCCATGGTCGCTGTCGGCTTGTTTCCCTTTGCGTGGGTCGCTCGCGACCTCGCCTGCGGCGGCTTCGGCGGCGCCGGCTCGCGCCAGCTCGCGGTCTTCTCGTCTCTCTACTGGATGGGCTTCTCCATCTACGGCGGCGGGCAGGTGGCTCTGCCGGTGCTCGCGCGGAGGGGCACAGCCGTGACTGACTGACTCGCAGCCGTTGAACGGACCAGGTGGTGCTGCCCATGCTCGAGTCGGAGTTCACGCGCGGCCGCTGCGAGCCGGGCGAGACGGGCTCGTTCCCGCCGCTCGACGCAGAGACGTTTGGCTTCGGCCTCGCGCTCGCGCAGTCGCTGCCGGGGCCGCTCTTCAACCTGTCCGCCTTCCTGGGGGCCGCGGTGGCGGGCGTCGGGGGCGGCATCGTCGGGTTCCTCGGCCTGTTTGGGCCCGGTATCCTGCTCATCTACGCGCTGATGCCCTTTTGGGAGGCGCGCGCCGCGCCGGCCTCCGCCCCGCCCTCCGGGCCTGCCTCTGCCGGGCCGCTTGCACCTCTTCCCGCGCGCGTCTCTCCTCGGGGACCGTCGCTCCGGCATAGCGACGACACGCCTCACCGAGAGCCCGAGCAGGAGCGCTATGTCACCCCCCGCCCCTCCCCTTGCGCCAGTCGCTGCGACGGCATGAGTGGGTGCGCTGCGCCCTCGTGGGCATGAACGCCTCCGCCGTCGGCCTCGTCTTCCAGGCGTGTGTCACGCTCTGGGCAAAGTACTGCACGAACGGCGCCGAGGCGGCCGTCTGCATCCTGGCGATGGCGATGCACAAGCGCTTCGCGCCCGGCGATACGAAACCGCTCGCGCTGCGGCGCGCGTGGCCGGCGCTCGTCATCTTTTCTTGCGCGACGCTTTGCCTCGTCCTCTTCTTCCTCGACCTCAACGGCGCTTACGGCGACTGGTGCCACGTTGCGAAATATGGCGATTTCGCCACCCAGCCAAATCGCACGGAGGCGTGCCCCTCCGCGAGCTGAGCTGTAGCAGAGAGTAGTCCACGCCGTGGGCGCCGGGCGGAAGCGGGCGTCGTCGATGGGCGCTGCAAGATAGCTCGTTCGGTCGTTTTTAGAGTAAAGTTCCAGGTTAGGCCAGGTGTAGCCCAACCGTGCGGTGGTCCGTGCACGCGTGCACACAAACCGAGCACTCGGCCGTTTAACTTGAAGGTGTGCACTCCACACAGCAGGCACCCCACCGGCTCCCCGCGCTCTAACTTACGTCTAACCTGGTCCTACTCGCTATCTGGTCGGGCGCTCGGGCCTGTACCACCCTGGAGCCTGATTCGTCCACCTGCGCGCCGCGCCCCATCGGCGTGGCGCACAGCGGCAGCGCGTTTTACAGCACAATCGCGCGTCTCGTATCTGACGACTAGAGGTCCTCGATTGGCGCCTCTGCCGGTCGGTCTCGCCAGCCCGAGAGGCCTGATGCGCCGACGTCCGCCAGCGTACACGGAAGCGACGGCGTCGCCATCTCCTGCCGCACGACGAGAGAGGCCGCTCCGCGCGCGAGCTCGAGCCCGGCCGCGTCGGTGGTCAGCGGCACAGAGCCGCCGTTGAGCAGCCGCGCGTGCAGCCGCAGCGCCCGCGGCGGCAACACCTCGCCGAGCAAGTCTGTGTACGCCTGCCGCAAGCCCTCGGGTGATCTCGGGTGATCTCGGGTGATCTCGGCTACTCTCGGCTACTCTCGGTGTACGCCTGCCGCAAGCCCTGCTGCAGCTCCGCGGCGCTCGCCACCCCGTCCAAGTCTGCCGCCATCTCGTGACGCGTCCCGTCCGCAGCCTCGAGCACGACGGGCGTCTCCTGCCTCTCCTCGCTCTCCGCCCCCCTCCTCGCGCCCTCGGAGGCGGGCGCGTGCGCGGGGGGCGGAGGGTGGTGCGGCAAACGCCTCTCTGGCGGGGTCCTCGCAGACCCGTCGCCATCCCTCTGCATGCACGCCACCGAGACCGAGTCCTCCGGCCCGATCTCGAGCTCGAGGAGCGCCGCCTCCGCCTCGCGCTCGGCCTGGCTCACCTGCGTTGTCGGGTGCGCAGAGAGGGGAGTCGGGCTGCGGCTCCTTGCAGCGGCACCCGTCGCCGCACAGCGGGAGACTAAACAGGGAACACCGTGGGCACCGTCGAGGTCGTGTCTTGTCGAGTGCTCGCTAGAGTGCAAGGGAGCGCATTCCGCCATCTAGGCTCGCCCGCCGACACCTCCGAGCCGCCAACCTGCGACGCCGCGCGGCCTCCTATTGCCTCGTTGAGGAAGTCATCAGTGGATGGCTCGTTGGGCGGCGCCGCGCGGATGGCCGAGCCCGCCGCCGCCGCGTCGCGCGGCCGTGTGGCGCGAGAAGAGCGAGCCGCCCTCGGAGGCGGGCTGCCCGTCGTACACGCGCGGGAAGCGGCTCGACGGCGCGTGCCTAGCACCGAGGCGTGCGTGAGTCACAGACCTGAGAGGTTGTGGCGAGAGCAGCGGCTGCGGGGCGCGTGTGCCGCAGCGGGGCGGGGAACTCGTCTTCCGCGAGCGGCGGGCTGCACGGGCTGTCCGGGCTGCCCGGAGGGGGGCTCCTAACGACCGACCCATTCACAGCTCCGGGGTTGAGCAAGTGACTCCTCGGTACACCCGGCGGGCGGCTCCTCGACGGCGACCGGTTGGCGGTGTTTGGCGTGCCTCGAGAGGTGAGGAGCGAGGTCCGGTCCTCGACCGAACCGCGGCTTCTGATGCGCGAGAAGCGGCCTACGACGGACTCGCCCCACCCCATGAGGTGGCACTGGTATCGACGCCCGGTGGCGGGTGCGCGAGAGGCGCGGGCCGTAGAGATTATGCAGCTCGGATCCAGCGATGCCGCCTCGGCCGAAGCGGCTCTTTGGCGGCGGCGTGGCTCCCCGACGTGCGTCTCTTCTCCGGCCTGGTGGGGGCATCAGTCACTAGTCAAAGCCGAGCCGTCTCGTGCGTCCCCGCCTCCGACGCGCGCCAAAGCGAGAGCTGCAGGCCGCGCACGCCTGGGGCGAGGGGCAGGGGCAGGGTGAGGGGCAAGGCAGGGGCAGAGAGGTAGGGGCAGGGTGAGGGGCAAGGCAGGGGCAGAGAGGTGTGTGAGGGTGAGGGTGAGGGTCACAGCCAGGGTGAGCGTTACAGCGAGAGTGTGTGAGTCAGCGAGGGTGATTGGTCAGGGCTGGGGATGACCGCGAGGGGTGGCGGCGAGGGGTGCGAGCGCACCGCCACCATCAGCGCGGCGAGCGACGAGCCGAGCAGCAGAGCGGCGAGGAGGCGCTCGACCAGCTCGGCGGGCAAGTCGCCGGGCAGCGCCGCCGAGAGGGCGACAGCCGCGGGCCACAGAGGCCGCTCGGGGCCGGCGGCGTCCGGCGGCGCCCCGCCCAGCGGGGGCGGTGGCGGCGCCGCCTCACCCGGAAGTCCTGAGGGCGGGCCTCGATGAGAGGGGTCTGGCGAGGGCGGCGGGGGAGAGACTGCGACGAGCGGCGGCGGCGGCGGCGGCGGCGAAGCGCGTGGACGCGACGACCGGCGAGGCCGAGGCGGCGGCGGCGGTGGAAGTGGAGGTGGCGGCGGCGGCGGCGGCGGTGGCAGCGACGAGGACGTGGGTAGGGCGGCGGCTGCGGGCGAGCTGTGGCACTGCCGACCCTTGAGCGGCTGGCAGTAGCCGCAGGAGCACTGGCAGTGCGAGTAGAACTGGCCGCATTGCTTCCACTCCACCTTATAGCGGCAGGAGCGCGCCTGCCAGTCTCCAGCCTCGCGCGGAAAAGCGACGGCCCACTCGTCGTGGCAGCCTCGCTGGCGATCGACGGCAGGAGGCTCCTGCTCCGAGGGCGCCTTGGGCAGGATGCACGAGGTCATCTCGCTGTCGCTGCACCGCACGCCAGAGTCGTACAGGTGCCGCGCGCAGCAGTCGATGCCGCCCGGCTGCTGCCAGCAGTTGACGCCGCCGCACCGATTGCACTCTGCCGGGCAGCAGACGCTGGCCAGGAGCGCCTGCGAGCCCGGTTTGTGCACGCTGCCGATGATGCCTCGGGAGCACCCAGCCATGAGGTAGCAACGCGAGAGGTCGTCCTCTGAGACGCCGGTTGAGACGGCGGGCGACTACCCTGGTACTCCAGCGAAGAAAGGAAACGGCGTGGCAGAGCCTGACTTCCGATCTTTGTGCAGGATTCTTTGTGGCAGGCAGAAAAAATTTCTTTTCCGCTTTGACCTTTGTGTCTTTCTGAAAACAAAAAGCGTTGGCACCCACCGCCTCGTACGGCTGTACTCTAGTCCAGCCTCTTCCGCGGCGCGGGCGGGCCGGAGCTCTTCCTCGCCGTCACCGTCGGCCCGCGATGCGTCGGCCGAAACTGCTCGACCGGCCCGAGGCCCGCAAGCTCCCGCTTGAGCTTGGGCTTTGCGTCATCATCGCTGGCCGCGGCGGACCGCTTCTTCCCCTTCCTCGGCGCAGCCTCACTCGCCTCCACCTTCGGCTCCACCTTCACCGTCGGCTCCGCCTTCACAGCTCCCTCCGCCTGCTTCTTCGGTGAGTTTGCGAGCTCGAGGATCGCCGCCGTGTCCTCGCCCGCAGCAAAGCCGCTGCGCGTCAGGTGCCACACCTGGAGGTTGCCCTTTGGGTAGGGCAAAGGGCGGGCGCACGCGCGAGCCGCGTCTGCACGCCAGGCAACCGGCTTGGAGCAGTCGTAGTTCGCTAAAAAGGCGTCCGCCTTGGCCGCCGCCGCAGCCGCGACGTTCCCATCGACCATGTGCACCACGCCGAGCAGGCAGCGCTGCTGCGCTCTCAGATCCGAATCGCTCGGGCAGCCGGTTTCACGCCTCGCGGATTCGTGCCATGGTGGCGGCGTTCTTGAGGTGCTCGTCGTTCTGGCCGCAGTGCACCGCGACCCACTCCCCGCCGTCTGGAAAGGCGGTGGCCTTGCCGCGCCGCGTGTATAGCCCCTCGCCGGCAGCCATCGCCGCGGCATACGGCTGCTGCATCGTGATACAACGGAGGCCAATGCGGTCCATCGCTCGCGCGAGCTTGAAGCTGCGCAGCGAGAAACATTTTTTTCTGTTGTTAGGTTTTTCTGCTTTAGTGTTTGTGGCTCTTTTCCTGTTGCCCCGCGCTTTTCTTCTTTTCCGAATGCAAATGCCGTCGAAGCTCACACCCCTCTCCCGTCAATGGGCAAAAACGGGGTGATTTTGGTCATCCGTCAAAATATCTGAAGATCTGTCCGGGGGATTCTCCCCAAACCTTGCTCAGCTGATCCAGCACGGGCCGTAGGCAAGCCCTGGGCAAAGAAACCAGTACCTCAACCGGCTTCCCTGAGCGTCACAGCTCGGTGATCGCGCCGACCGGACACCACTGTAACGTCACGGTTCCGGGCATTTGAACGCGACCTTCGGGGGCAAAGACATGGGCTCTATGGCTCAGACTGGACGCCTCTAGTCTTGGTCCCTTCTGATGCCCTAGGCCACACCTGGGCCTTACCTGGGGTTCTAGGGGCCGGGCAGGGTTTGCCCGCCCGAAACTGGCCCGAGGGACCTTAAGTCCTAAGCAGGGAAGGGGGGGGGGGGGGCACCAGGTCCATAGAGCTCCACAACAAATAAAATCGGACACGCCAAAGAGGGGTGGGAGAAGGGGACAGAGTCCCCGCCTGCACGAGCAGGATCTTGGAAGGACGATCAGGGACACAAGCAAGGCTAGGGGACGGGAGCGGGGAGCGCATCGCGACACGGTGGGGGGAGGCTGCGCAGGATCCACCCACACGACCGGGTCCCAGGGATTTGTTGGCTAGGCGGGCGCAAGAGGTCTGTTAGCGCCCCCCCCCGGCGCCCCCCGCGACCGGCACCCACCGCGAGCAGCACTTCGTCCGGTCCCTCATCTGCTGCTGACCACTCTGACCTCGCCGCCGTCGTTGCTCTTGTCCGCGCGGTCGGGGAGGGGGCTGGGGAGATGGGGAAGAGGGGGAGCTCAGGTGCTCCTTTGACGACTTATTTTGCACTGTCAGCTCGGCGAACAGGCACTTGACCCGCACTGATGTTCGCGCTGCGGTTGCTTACTTGCGCACGGAGAACGAGATTGTAGTCGACCGACAGCCAGCACCGCCCTGGGAGGGACATCATTGTCTTTTTGGAGGATTAGGTGCACACGCAATGGAGGCCGTGTGTCAGTGAATCCATGCAACTAAATGCAGTTTCCCGCCGAATGCAAAGAATGCAGAAAAAGCATATGCAGCTGAAATGCAGTTGCCCACCGAATGCAAAGAATGCAGAAAATGCATATGCAGCTGAAATGCAGTTGCCCACCGAATGCAAAAAAATGCATATGCAGAGCTGAAATGCAGTTGCCTCTCGAAAACAATGCAGAAAATGAAGAATGCAGTCTTGAATGCACTATAAATGCGTTCAACTGCCATGATATGTGTGAATGCAACATATGCAAACATGCAAAAAATGTGCATGGGCAAAAACCATCCGCATTTTTGGGCAAGAACCACAAGACACCCGTCGGACCCCTGGCTTGGCGGCACAGAATGCCGGAGCGCCTAGCCCTCCACGAACGGCGCTGACCAGCTAGGGCGGGGAGGGGTGGAAGCAGCGAGCATGACCAAGGCTCAAGGGTAGGTGCTACTCTATACGCTCAAGCGCCCGGCACCACACACGCTTGCTGCTGCTGCAGGCTCGCCCACAGCGCCCGCGCCGAGCCCTGCGCGACAGCTTCGCGCGGCCCGCGGTGCCGACCCGTCAACTTGGAGTGAGGATGTGCTTGGACCTTGGAGCGGCCGCCCGAGGAGGAGGCTGAGCCCTGGCCTCGACACCTCGACACCAAACCTCGACACTGACTCGACACCTCGACACCCCATGCCAACTCGACCAACTCGACACCCCTCGACACCCCTCGACACCATCTAGGCTGGGACCAAGCTCGTCCGTGTCAAGGTGCCAAACTCGACACCTCGACACCCCTCGACACCCCTCGACACCCCTCGACACCGCTCGACACCGCTCGACACCGCTCGACACCGCTCGACACCTCTGATGATCCTAACACAGCAGAGACGTACCAGGTAGACCCATTGGAGTCAGAGTTAGAAATCAGGGTTGCAGCAGCAATCAAACTTGGCTTGCAGTACTTTCATCCCTGAGTTGCAGCCTCTCAGTTCTAGCTCAAGTTGCAGCTCAGTTGCACCCCTGTTGATCACCGATCTTCAACTGAGCCCCCCCGGGGGACCATCGGTGCCTGCAGAGCGAGGCATCTTGTGAAAGAGGACACACGTGAACGAAACGGAGGCGCCTGCCTGTTGATGCAGCAAACATGGCAGTACTCAGGTACCGTCGGCTCGCGTCGCCGCTCGCGATGCGCGCCGAGAGCCTGTCTACGGCTCGGGTGCATGACTTCGTCCAGGAGGACCTATCTGCAGCGCTAGACTGGAGCGCGAAGCAGGGGCGCATCTTGACGGGCGGTGGGGTCGCCGAGTCGCTCTACACCGCTGCCCGTGGATACGCGTTTGAGCAGGCGCAGCTCCCGCACCACCACTTGGAGGCGGGATCGACGCACGACACGTTCCGTGCCTGGCGATGGGGCCCGCCGCGAGACGCGAGCGGCGGCGGCGGCGGGCCGGCGCTCCCGTGGCTGACTGGCGGCTGGTCACGGCCGCTCTTCGCGGGCGGCGGCGAGGAGTCATCGGACGCGAGCGAGGCGTGCGTCAACCTGGTGACGCCCTCCCTCTTTGTCGACATCCGCATCCCCATCGCGCGCAACGCCCTGCTCGATGCGCTTGGCGCGAGCGAGTGGGACACTGGCCGAAGCTGAGGAGCCGACGCTTCCGAGACCGTTTCCGGGCATGTCTGGTAGGTGAGAGGGAGGAGGAGCGGCTGAGGCTGCTGGCCCGGCAGCACGGCTTTGCTGGGTACGCGCGGCTGGCCGAGGTGTTCTCCCTCTCTTCCTCTCTCTCTCTCTCCCCCTCTCTCTCTCTCTCTCTCTCTCTCTCTCTCTCTCTCCTCCCTCTCCTCCCTCCTCCCTTCCCAGCACCATGCACAGGGACATATACCGCTAGGTGCAAGGCGCGTTCGGCCCGGGCGGTGCCGCCGTCGCAGCCGTCGCGTGCACGCGCCACCACGCGGTCGACTGGAACTTTCTCGGCGCAGGACGGCCGCGGCCAAACCGTTGGACGGTCACGCCCCTCGGCGGCAACGGCGGCGACAACGGCGGCGACAACGGCGGCGACAACGGCGGTGACAACGGCGGCGACAACGGCGGCGGCGGCGGCGGCGGCGGCGGCGGCGCGGGGCAGCTCGGCGGCGCTGCGGAGGGCGTGGAGGAGTGGCGCGAGGACTCGTTTGCGCGCGACGGCGCCGGAGGCCCGTACTACCACGAGGTCTGGCGGCGCCTTCCCCGTCCCGCCTCGGCCGACCCACCCTGCGTGCTCGCGATGCGCTCGCTGCCGTCGGACGGCGGTGACGGCGGCGCCGCTTCCGCCGCCAGCGCGGCGCGCGACCTGATTGTGGTCGCTTGCGGCGGCCGCTTCGCATACGCGAGCCGTGCTGTCGGAGAGGCGGCGGACGCGATGCGATCGAGGGTTGCGGCGGCGTGGAGGGAGGCGTGCTTGGGGCAGGACACCCCGTGCAGCAGCCGCGCTGCGGCGGTAGATGCCGCCGTCGGCCAGGGCGACCTCGAGCTCGCCCACTGGCGCGCGCGGCCGAGGGCAGACGGGACACGTCCACGACGTGTCCACGACGTGTCCACGACGCGTCCACGGCGTCTCTCCGTAGGCTGGTGCACGAGGAGGTTCAGGCGGGCCACGGGCACGCGGGCAGCGCGGGCGGCGCGGGCGGCGCGGGCGGCGCGGGCGAGCTGCTCGAGGCGGCGGAGGGGTGGACGATCCTCGCGTCGGTGCAGCCCGCCGACGAGGGCAGGACGCTCGGCGACATGATTCGCCGCGCCGGCAGCGGCGGCACCGACAGCGGTGGGGGCGGCGGTGGCGATAGTGGCGACGGGCCTTTGCGCGGGGCGGAGACGTGTGCGCTCCCGCGCGGCGCCAGCCGTCTCGAGGCGCCTCAGGCGGTGCGCGTGGGTAGCACGCGGTTCGAGCTCTTTGAAATCGCCGTGTGAGGCTGTGGGTGAGTGTTGGCGCGCGCGAGGACCGATCGGGCGCATTCCCCATGGGATACCTTTCCGGCCACAAGGCCCTCAGGATTCCAGCCGAACTACACCGAGAAAAACAGAAAAAGAATTTAGCCACAAATAAAAAAAGCGGGCGCCCAACAAACCAGACTGGGACCTTTCCGGCCACAAGGCCCTCAGGATTCCAGCCGAACGAACACCTAGAAAAACAGAAAAAGAATAGCCACAAAAAAGAAAACGGGGCCTCTGGGTGCCCTGGACTCCCTGCGGCTACTCCACAAACCAGACTGCACCGCCCACAGTTTTCACGATGCTCTCCATCGTCGCACCCGTGCTACTCTCCTGGCGTGCCGTGCCAGCCGTACCACACCGAGCACTGCCTGCCGCGGCTCCGCGCGCTGCAGTCGCCGCTGCGAGCACGGCCGAGGACCTGAAGGCCCGCACGACAAGCTCGCAGCTGCACAGCCTCTCAGCCTGAGCCTTCTCGGGTCCTTCCCAATAGGCCCGGCTCGTGACCTCGTGCGAGGCTTTCAAAGCCGCGCAGGAGGAGCAGTGGGCCGCTGACGCGGCGGCCGGTGCTGAGGGGCCAACCTCGCCGCTGCAAGCCGAGGAGATTGCCAACATCGACGTCTCTGCCAG